ATATTTTCACACGCGTACTATCATTTATAATATTAAGCACTGTCCTTGAGTAGTTAATAGATATCTATAAGGAGAATCATCAATTAGGTAATCTAAATTGATGAGGCTCACTATGCAGTAGATGATTAATATGTATGATGGCCAGCAATAGGTGCGTCGTCTGTATCATCGAGGGCCAACATTAAGTAAATGGTGAATACCCAGGTCAGTTATGCTCGGCTGTACGCGATCATATGCCAAGTAATTATGGAGGATAAGAGTAGCCGTTTTCGCCACACCTTTACAACAGCTATACTTAGGGTATACCAAAAGTTCTGATCACAGTTTTTAAAATTTAATAAAGCAATAAATATTGAATATTTTACTAAGGCAATATATAGTATAACGTCTCGTCTTTAATAATATATAGAGCAACTCTCTCTTAGACTTAGTTCTAACATCCTTTCAGACTAAATCTATAGTATTTATAGCCAAGAAAAGATCATGCCAACATAAAACCACAATACAGAAACGAAGAGACATTCGTTATTTTATTTTATTAAATGCTCAAAATAATCACCATTATTTTCGATACAAAGTTTCATTCTTTCTAACAGTTTATCGAAAGTCTTTTTAAACTCGTTTATTGGAATATTCTTCACTATGGTGGAAACCTCTTGAGCTAATGATTCTTCGTTTGTGTGATCCGTCAACTTGTTCTTGATATAATCATTTAGCCAAAAGTCACACGGTGCGAGATCTGGTGAATATGGTGGATGTGGAATGATTTCGATTCCTTCCTCCATTAAATAATCAATAACATCTGGATGAGTATGAGGAGGACCATTATCATGAAGCATTTTATATGTAGTACGTGATGACTTTTCCTTTTTTCTTATTTCATTGATAACAGGTATAAGACAATTATCAATACAGTAGTCATGATCGATTGTCTTGTCCTTATCTACTTTGTGTATGAGAAGAGAACCAGTGGATTTGAAGAAGAAGCAAAATAGTGTTCTAGGTTCAAATCTATTCCGACGAACAATGGTTCTTGGTAGTTCATTTTCGCCAACCCAAGTAGCATTGCTTGACTTTCGACCAATCTGCCTGTGATAAATCCATGTCTCATCACCAGTAATAACATCACATAAATGCCATGTTCCATTTCTAAATTTCTCTAAATTTTGACGACAAATTCTAAGTCGTTTTTGTTTTTGTTCGTCAGTAAGTTGATGAGGAACCCAACGTGATGTAACTTTTCTCATCTTTAGACGATCATGAATAATTCGTTCTATTGTACCACGTGATAGATCAGTCTCACCCATAATATCATCATAAGTTGAGTGTGGATCATCTTCGATAACTTGTCGAACGCGTTCAACATTTTCATCTGTAAGTACCGAAATCGGACGACCAGATCGAGGATCATCAGTGACATCGTCTCTTCCTTCACGAAAACGTTTCGCCCATCTTCTGACTGTTGGATATGATGGAGCATCAGGTTCCAATGCCTCTGTAAGTTCGTCAAAGATTGTTTTTGAATCTATTCCCAAAATAGCTCGAATTTTGATATAATATCGATTGAATTCATCAGTCATGTTTAATGTCTTCTTTTAAGATTGAAATCAAATTCTATTACGATTTTAAGTCGAGTACGGTACAAATGAACTAACAGCGAACGACCTCTCATTTATATATACTATCGAAATGTGATATTCTAGAACATGACGTCATAAAACGTGACGAGAGAGTGACCAATAGAAAGTTCCAGAATGTACCTGACCATTGAACAAGAATTAATAATATTTGCATTGTCTGTAAAATTATAGATTTAGTCTGAAAGGATGTTAGAACTAAGTCTAAGAGAGAGTTGCTCTATATATTATTAAAGACGAGACGTTATACTATATATCGCCTTAGTAAAATATTCAATATTTATTGCTTTATTAAATTTTAAAAACTGTGATCAGAACTTTTGGTATACCCTAAGTAAACGATGCCTCGCGGAATATTACAGTCAGTGTACATGACATCCGTAAAAGTCGGTCGTAAACAGCTAATGTAACGAAACGGCAC